TTCTGCTACTTATATCGACAACACCTGGAAGTTCCAGACCCTTCATCTTACTCTTAAGTTAGTCACCTGGCACCACGCTGGCTGACTCCTTGCACAACCAGTCGGACGCTTCTTGATCACACATGGTTTGCATAAAAAGATAAGTCGTTTTCCCTAACTAATTTCTGCTCTTCCTCATCTCACTTCCCTCTTCCTTCATGTTTGAATCAGCTAACCTTTGTATTCGCTCTATCACATGTTAGCTCAGACGACGGATTTGGCTAGCTCAAATGCCACCATGGCCAACGAGTTGTCAAGCATGTTCCTGGAAGCTGAACAGTCGGTCGAGTGGGATGCGTATGCTAATCAAATCAAGTGTTACACCCACAAGGTCGGCCTGGTAGTCAAGGCTGGACTCAAGTCTTTGGGTCTGCGCGCTGGTCACGTCAAGCCTACGACCTCTCCTGGAATTACCTTACCAACGCCAACCATGACTTTGAACGAAGGCAATGAAGATCTCCACTTTGATTCATCTGAAGATGAGCAGCAAGATGATCCTGATCACGATCAAGAGCCGATTGATGATAACTTGTCAGATTCGGATTCTGATGATGTTGAAGCTGACTCAGTTTGTGAAGTAGCTCGGGCTGTTTGTAAAGTCAGTATCTCACATTCACAACTCCTACCTCTCTTTCAATGGCTAATCAAATGTTAAAACCTATAGGCAAAGAAGTTTAATGGCCTGTGTACCAGGAGTTCAGCAAGACGTCAAGAGTTTATAGCAAAGGCTAAGCAAATGGATTACCGAGGTCGCTCACCTATATCTGGGTGGGGAGTGCGATGGAATATTGACGCTGACTACCTCCAAAGGTTGAGTGATGCGCGTGATGTGAGTACATATCTTTCAACTTTTTCTTCTCATTCTCTCAATCCTCATTGGCTCATGTCTCCTCCTCTTATATTATCTTGATCCATAGGTCGTCGATGCTATTTTACTAAGTGACCAAAAAACTCGGTATTACCAAGGTTTGCAGATCAGTGCTGACGAATGGGACTTGATCAAGAACCTGGTAAAAATACTTCAGGTTGGTATCTTTGTGAACTTTTGATATCTTTGAAATTCTCACTGACACCATCTCTACAGGTCTTTTTGTATGCTACTAAACGCATGGAAGGCAACTTGGCCACCAGTTGCATTTTGCTCACCGAATACTCACGGGTAGTTTTGGAACTTGATCACCTTGTTAATGCCTGCGAAGACTTAGATGTGAAGGCTATGCTGGAGTTGATGCGCAACAAAATGGAAGGTTATCAATCTGAAGCAGTTGATGTGATGCAATCGTGATATCTACAATTCTCAATCCTTGCTTCCGGATTCGCTTTTTTGACCTGAATTACCCTGAAGAGGCTGTTTGAGCCAAAAACATATTTTGACAAACCTTTGAAAAAGCTCTTGAAGATTGGCCTGAAGACCCCATCTCTACTTCCGATGAAGTGACCCAATCTCCTTCCATTTCCACCTCACCCACTCCAAACTGTACTCAATTCGACGTTCTTACAACTCAAGTCACGGCTCAGTCACCTGCCGATAAACGCCAGGAAGAGCATGCTGACTATATCGAGGGGGCTCATCTTATGCTTGCCGGTCAGTCGGAGTTATATTGGTGGAATGTATGTTCATCTTTCCTCGCTCAATCTCTTATATATAATTTTACTGATTTGTTTTATTACTGCATATAGGAGCACGAGAAAGATTTCCCCGTCCTTGCATCTCTTGCTCGAGATTATCTCGGATTATCCGGTACCTCCTGTCCTTGTGAGAGGACCTTCTCGTTGGCTGCTGATATTGCAGTCCCTGGACGGGCTTCTCTAACAGCAAAGGCTATTTCGAGGCTTGTAGGTGTACGCGAATGGTTGAAGTCCAAAATCTCTCTATCCGGTATTTTTGCTGAAGCCGCGGCTTATCTTCAAGCTTATGAGTCTTCTAGCACCAAGGCTAGAAAGTGATTGTGCGCGTCCTTCTACAACTGCAATAAATCAAAATCGTGTGATTGCTTAGGTTTTTAAAATAAAGTAAACTTTTTCCTTTTAACATTTCTCTTCTTGATAAATTTGTGTGCACGGTCTCTTAGTTCAAAAAAAATCCAAAAATATGTTTTCCTCACTTTTGCTTCAAAAAAATTGTGTGCGGTCTCTTGGTTCACAACTAAATAAAACCCTGAAAAAATCTTTTTTTACTTTGTTTTTTCTTTACAAATCCCCACTCCACAAGCCTATACATGCCTATTATAAAACATGTGTAATCAAATCGCTTCAAAGCTCAATTTCACTACCTGATCACGCTTTTAAGCGCTTCCTCCCGTGAAAAAAGACCATAGCGGTGCGGAGCGGTTTTCTAACGCGCTCCGCTTAGAAAACTCGTAGCGCCTCAATTACATAGCGAAGCGTTTAGTGTTTTTCTCATAGCGCCATTTCACTACGCTCGTGGAAATAGGGATTATAGCGTAGCGACGGTGGTGTTGTATTGGAAGAAGACCCAGACTTCGTCGCCAATTTGTCTTCATCATGGGTAAATCCAAAAGTGTGGTTAAACCCAAACCAAGAAAGCCTTTCCCAAACATTAGTGTAGAAGAGTTACAACATATGTCAATAGAAGATTGTCGTAACTCTGTCCAAGATTCTTCTCTGTCGAAGTACAAGTCCGGTTTTAAATGCTTCGCTAAATTTTGTATTCATTTCAAAAAAGACCTTAACCCAAACAAAAATAACTTATGTGAATTTATGACTTGTCTCAGTCGCATGATTTCTCCTCGATCAGTTCGCGCATATTTAACCGGTATCAAACATATTTTCAATCACGACTTTCCTTCGATCACTTGTCAGACCGACCATCCAGACGTCAAGAAAACGATGAAACACTGCTTGGCTAATTACTCAAAGCCAGTAGTTAGAAAAAATCCCCTTACGCTGGTTCAATTGGTTTCGGTCGTATCTAAGTCCTCTCATTCTTATGACGATAAACTATTTTTAGCAATGCTGAGCGTGGGTCTTGGAGGTCTTCACCGTTTGGGAGAAATGACGGTCCCTGATTCAGCAAAACTTCTCAACGCAAGGAAAATTATTTTACGCTCTTCTTTTCGATTCTCAGCTTGCAAGAAATTCATGCAGTATCACCTTCCGTATTCGAAAGGCAATAGAAATTTTTTAGGTGCTCCGGTGGTCGTTCAAGAGTTTTATAATTCCCCCACCTGTCCTGTTTGCTTGATGAAATCTTACCTCCGTCAACGCGACTCCAACTTCATATCTTCACATGAACTTTTCTTAACTTCATCAGGCACTCCTCCAACTCGTTCCTGGTTTCTTTCTTGATTCCATCTCCATTTCGACAAAACTTTTTCAGGTCATTCTTTAAGGTTGGGAGGTGCGACAGCCATGGCTCAAGCTGTCTCGAACATGGAAGCGATCAAGAGCGCAGGTAGCTGGTCGTCTGACGCGTTTTTAATTTACATTCGCGGTCACGTTGCCTTACGATTACCGGAAAATCAGAACCATGTAATCGGGCACGTGGCTCACATTGGGTCTAGAGTCTCGTTTTGATAGTGAGTCTTTGGTTTGTGTTTATTTGTGTCATAAGCTTTTATGCTTTGTCACTTTGGTCAATGGCTTTTAGCCTTTTCTGGTGCTGGTCAATGGTTTTTGTTATTAAAAACCTTTTTGCTTGTGTCAAGGGCTCGTTGCCTGCGTTGGTTAATGGCTTTTTAGCCTACGAATGTGTTTGGACTGGGTTTGTTGTGTTCATATGACTGACGAATGTTTTATTTCCGGTGCTATTCTTTTTTCCCTCTCCTTCTTCACCACTCTGATTTACGGCTTATAGGCGGGTTGGAGAGGGTGTTATATTTTTTATTACAAGCAATTTATTACCCTAGGCATATCGCCCAGGGTTTTGTCCAAACACTGTTCTATTGATTTTTTAGTATGTTTTCATACTAAGTTTCGTGAGTGAAGGATCCACATTTCTAGGAGTTGGTAACTTGTTATTAACCGATTGGAATGGGGATTAAATTCGGTCATGTACCTGTATAAAAATACTGACGGGTCGGATATTGCTTATCTATCCCATCCACAGCTATGATGTCATTCTAGCTGTTTACCACTTCACCGAATTCAATCCTTTCAATCGGTTTTTCTTCATCATCAAGAATCAACTCACATTAGTTTGTTGATATTTCGCAACCCACCCACCCTGTTGTCCCTGTGATAATTTAGGTTTCTTTTTTGTTATTGTGGTATGTTTAGTTATTAATTATTTTTATTTATATTTTTATGTTTTGTTTTGTTCGTTGTTGTGGTCCAAGAGCGTTTTTTATTGGTATTTAAAAAAAAAAGAAGAAGAAGAAAGTTTATTATGTTCTATTTCCTTCAGCAGCTTTTTATTTGGGCAAGATTTTTTGTGGTCTGAGTTTTATTATGTTTTTTATTTTTTTATTATTATTTCTGTTCTTTTGGTAGCGTTAAAATTGTTAGTGCTGTCGCGTCTTTCACTAATTGTTGTCGTGTTTCATATTTTCTACATTTCTTATGTCCGCTAGCCACCCCAGGGTGTTATATTTTTTATTACAAGCAATTTATTACCCTAGGCATATTGCCCAGGGTTTCGTCCAAACACTGTTCTATTGATTTTTTAGTATGTTTTCATACTAAGTTTCGTGAGTGAAGGATCCACATTTCAATGAAATCCTTGGCCTTGACTAGATGGCTGCAGTCCCGAGGTATACTAGTCTCCTCTAATTTAACGTGTTTAGGAAGTGTTTTCACGCAATACAGCCAATATGCATCTCAAGATTCCTCAAGCTGAAGGTATCTAAATCCCCTTTGCATGATTTCACAGATATTTGATCTATCTGATATATGATCAAGATCAATGGCACATACAACATCTATCAAATAAAATAATATCTCTTGGGTATGTATATAAAGTTTTATTTAAAAAGTACTCATACCCAGGGTCACATAGAAATGATAAATGGAAAATTTCATCTGCATTTCCCAATTTTCAAATAAACCCCCACATTTACCCTCAACCCTTCTTATAAACCCCAACTCAAAAAAAAAGAAAACACAAACAATATTGTAATACTGAAGTAATAGATATTATATATATTTGTTTTCTTTTTTCTTCATTCATCATAACCTTAATGGTTTTAACCAAACATCAGCTCTTTCAAATCCATCAGCTAAATTATTATTTACAACTTTTTCTTCTTTTAATGTTCTAACTACTTTCATCACCTATTTATTTTTCGGTAGACCAAAAAAGGATATGTAAAAAAGATAACACCCAAAATGAGTCATTCCAAGAAGAAAGATTGTATATGAAGACATTTATGAATATATGAGATGATCATAACATTGATCCATCAAAAAGAGAAAAAAACATTCATCAGTCTTTTTGCTTCTAAACCCTCCAACATGTTTCTAAAAAAAACACAAATCAATTAAATCACTTACAGCATCCCAAAACCTAAACCCTCTATTCAATTCAGCTCTCACATCTCTAACCATAGGAAACCCATCCTGAGCTCCTACCAAAATATCTTCCTTTAATTCTTTCACCATTTCCTCTTTCTTATCTATCTCAGTTTCAGCTTCAATTTCACTTTGACTACAAACCATTGCATCTGCATAACCTTTAAATAAGATTCCCATCCCTGTATTGGCTTCATTTTGAAATGGTAATGATAAACTAACTTCCATTCCATCTTCACGTGATCTTCTGGTATCATTTCTTAATACTAATGATAAGACTATAGATTCGATTAATAATCTTAATGATTTAGTTAATGATCTTGTGAATGAGTTGAAGGTTAATAAATCTCGTGAAAGTGGTCCTTGCCATGACATTGGCTGATTCAAAAAACCGTGACCAAAAACAACAAAGTCAATATCAAGAAACACGGAGATGATAGAGGTAAGAAAAGCGTACCTTGAAAGAAAGTGGTACGATAGATAAAACTCTCATCACCAATAACATATTCCGTTTATCATCTTCACTACCCAAATGAGCCGTACCAGTCCAAGTACGACCACCAAACCAATTCGAATGTAGACAGCCCATCTTTAACATTTCAATCACTAACAAAAGTGGTTCTTGCAGTTTATCATTCACTTTAGATTCCTTTAATCCTAAAAATAAAGCTTTTCCTTGAATTGTATGTTGATGATTCGAATGTAGATATCCTCTTAATTCTAAAAACCTCCAAATCGTATTAGCCACTACTTCATCTTTCTTTTCTAATGGTTTATGATTTGTTTGTGAAGTGGATCTTGGTGTACGAGTTCTTCCTGCTAAATGTGATTGTGAGGTTGCTCCTAAACAGAGTGAGATATCAATTGTAGATGACTGACTCACAAAGTCATCAAAATTGTCAGTAAGACCTTTCAGATCCCAAATTAGGAGATTAAAAAACTTACGTTTTGTCGTTTTAATTCTTCTTCTACTACACCAGCAGGTACATTCCAATTCGAGATTTTCTCAATCAAATTCACAGTAGTTTGAGAAGCATGAGGAATGGTATAATTATTATGTGGATCGAAATAATAAATCGCACTCTGTGAATCAAATCTTGTCAGTAAGAATGACTTGAAAATCAAGAATAAACAAATGGTGATAACATTAAAACTCACAATCGGTTTCTTTTGCCAAAATTGATGTAAAGGTGAAATGATTAAAGATAATGCAACACATCTAGGACTGGTAGGATTTTCGGTTAAAGATTCTCTAACAAAACTCCAATAATCATCAGTTTCACCACCACAGAGTGGAGGTTGTTCAACCCAAAGTCCAGTAGCCAATACGTTCAATAAAGTCGGACTGATCATTGCTCTACATAATTGAAAATAAATTTCATCGGGAAATTTATATGAAAACACATCATGTAAATCAGTGGGTATATCATGAATTCCAATCGGACTTGAAGATGTAGGTGAAGCTATAGGTAACGGCATCACTTTTCCTTCTTCTGCCATAGTGACCAATGAGAATTTAATCATACATTTAGATCTACAGAATTGATCTAAATAACCTGTTTTAGCTACCATCGGATGATCAGCATAAGCCATAACAGTAGATAAACCAGTTTGATATCTTCTAATTAAATCGACTGCATGTTTAAAAGTATGTTCATGTCTTTCAACAAAAGGAGGAAAACTAGGTGAAAGTTCAAACCCCGATAAGATACCTAAATCTGTAAATTGTTCAGGTGTAAGACCAGTATCAATTAAAATTTCTTTCTTTGATGCGAATTTGATTAAACCTCTTTCAAAATTGATGGAAAGTATTACTTTATCTACTCCATCAAATAAGAAAAGTTCATTGGAACCGTAAATTGAATGAATATAATGTTTCTTAGGATGTCTTTCTAAATAAACTAATTGTGACCAAGATAGATAAGGTGCTACCAAATATTCAACTTGACGTGTTCTAAATAATCTATGAATTTGATTGAAAATGTCTTTGGGTTCTACACTTGATGATTGATCAAATAAGTTTTTAGCACCCTCTAGATCACCTGAAACATATTTTTCCCAACCTTTATCTCTTGTTCTAAGTTTTAACATTGGGTTTTCTAAAAGATCAGTTGAATTTGGAAATAAAAAGAAGGGTCGATCTCTTCTAGTTGGAGGTAAACCTTGAAAAACAAAAACTGGTTTGATTCGATGTTGTTCTAATAAACGTAATTCTCTTTCCATATGTTGATACGTATTGAGAGGTGCACCACCTGTGACTGAAACAAATGGTTCTTTATAATTTGGATGAGATAATAAAGTTTTGAACCATTGTTGAGCATCTATTCCGATTCGAGTATCTTTGAGAGAGGTCAAAGGTGCTTCCTATGAAATGAAATTGAATGAGTTAGATTTGAGATTTAGTGATCGAGTGATCGAGTGATGATGATGATCGACTGACATGAATCAAACCCCTCTCTTGAAGATAAGTATCCAAATGTCGAATGGGCATGATCGAATAAAGGTGAAATGGTCCTGAAATGAAATTGATAAGGCAATGAGTTGATTTGTTTAGATAGTTATGATGGTAAATTGAGAACTTACTATGTATTGTAGTTTGATGTTGTTTTGATCAGTTTACGATGTGGGAATGATGATGATAGTCTTTGAAGTGTTATAAGTTGAGAATGTGATGGTGATGGTAATGGTAATGGGTGATGGTAATGGTAATAGTAATGGTAATGGGTGATGAGTGATTGATGACTTGAAAATGGTAATCAGGTTGCTCATTGGTCAACAGACTCGAGTAATCAAGTCGATGATGCTTGATGCTTTAAATTTTAATGTGTTTATCAAACAACAGTTCTGCTTAACCACTCAACTCTCAAGAACCTCATTTCAAGCTTCAAGAGAAACCGACCAATCATTCAGAATTCATTCTCTCTTCAACCATCATCGACATAGTGACCAACTCTTATCAATCCTTTCATTCATTCTCATCAACCACTTTCATTTATGTCAAAAGATTCGGTAACAATGTGAAAATCAAAAAGACTTTTATTCAAACTATCTTATCGATGATTCCAAAGTGACTCAAATTTCCATTGATTCAGAACAATCAGCAAAACTTTTAGGATCCCACTATTTCGAGCCCCCTTAGGAGAACCCCGGCGCCCCTCGGGTTTTGACTATTACCCGCGTGGGCCGACAAAACTTGAAGGTTAGCAGCCAGATTTTCGCATAGTCGGACCTTTAGGGCTGCTTGCGAGGGCGCATTCACACCACTCTCCCCCGTATGACTTGTTCTGCGCCCTTGGGAGCCCTTGGGTCGTCAAATAGAGCAACAAAGAATCCAGTCACATCCAATCTCCAGCTATCATTGAGCACCATCGTCCATCAATTCATCAATTCTCTCGATCAAGTCTATCCATCATCAATTCAATCCAATCTTTGAATCTTCATCATCACAACAAAAAACCACATTATGTGGACCTAGCATCAATCAATCCATTTCATCTATCTTATCTCAACATCCATCTTCAACCGATACATCATCATATTATCTTAATAATAGTGGAACAGATTCAAAAATTTAAGAGCAACTTGATGTGAATAGAAGAACAGGTCGTCATGAAACTTTAGCTATTCGCATTGGAGTGATAGACACCCGAACCAGCCCTACGACTACACGGACATCAAGTAAAGTTGATATACGATTTCAGCAGCCTCTCATGTAGATGTAGCCACTTTCCCGGTGACTTATTAACTTATGGTATGCAGTATGATGATCCTCATAAAACAAACCTCTGGTATGACCTTCTTGTGTTATATCGGTCTGGTTTTAACCACAGCGCTTGGCTCGTTGCTTATGCTTGGTTGTGGATTATCAACCTACGCCCACAAATGGGTTTGTTTTTTAGGGACTTTGTTGAATTTACTGCTTGGTACAAGTATTTGGTTTTGCTTTCAATTCATTTGATTTTGGATATCACAAACCATTGTAGTTATTGGTATTTCTAACCTTCTACCTCAACTGTGATGTTTTATCTTGAATATGTTTACCTGTTCTTTGAATGAAACCAATATCGACTTGGCTGAACCTCAATGAGCTGTAGCGGACGTTCGGTTGACTTATAAAATAAGGCGAAATAAACTTAAAGTCGCGCCCCTCAAAGGAGCCCCTTTCTTTCGAAAAGGGGCTACAAATCTCTTGAAGCCCCCCGGGTAAACCCGAGGGGGGCGCCGGATATCGGATAGGGGGCTAGAAATAGTGGGATCCAACTTTTAAAGAGAAACTACCAGAGTAAGTTTTTGAACGTGATAAGTCAATTCAAATTCAAATTGAATGAGCTTGAATGAGAAAGAGAAAGCAGTTGAAATTGAAACTTGAAACATACATATGATGTTCTCAACACAAACTCTTGCACAGTCAGTCCAATGATAGTTTCTCAAATGGACTTAATCACGTCAATCTGAACCTAATCATACTACTGATCATACATATTTAAGCTACAATTCACATCTAAAGACTAATACCCATTCTATCAATCATGCATACTTATCTTACATCGTCTAATCCATTTCTTCAACCACTTCACTCAATATTTGTTTGATCAAAGTATGAGCAAAACAAAGACCCAAGTTTAATCTGATATCTTTGATTATGTTAGGTTACCTCTGGTATCAAACTTCATAACTTCGTATAGCCAGCTCCTGCTGCTAATGACCCTCCATCGGTGAGGATATACTAAGAAAAATCAAACCCATATAATGATCGACGATCAATTTTGAGCTCAAACAATGAAATGGATACGTTCAAATTACTGACGTTTGCAGAAATATGTGCTCCAGCACGGCTAGTCAAAAATAAAAATATACCCGCCATATCCTATATGACATGAGAGTCAACTTGATCAGCGATGAATAAGATACGACACCAAAGGTTGTCTAAAGAAAAGTTGAAAACATACCTCTGGTGTACCATACCTTCCCATTGGATGTGACTGTGCTAAAGCATCACCAGCAACTTTCATTCCATAAGCTGTCATCCTTGATGGATAAACTCCCTAAATTTTAAACCCAGAATAATCATCAATTTAACAATAGACTTTGACATGAGGAATGTGAATCATTTGTCTGACGTACTGGACAAATTGCGTTGACGGTAATGAATTTAGGACCAAGAGTGACGGCCAAATTGTTAGATAAAGAGATTGCAGCCGCTTTGCTAGCATTGTCTATAGATTAAGAGTTCAAAGAGAACTAAGAGTGAGTCAACAGTGAACTTTAAGTTTTCAAACTCACTTACATGACCATAAACCATGGCCTTGAGCTCCTAAACCAGTTGATTCCGCGATACTTGCTACACCAGCTACTGATGAGATGATGATCACACGTCCCGGATCTGAAAAGATTCTCCACAGGAAGTGATCAGAATGGACCAATATATGAGTATCAATTCGATTCGAGACATCGATTTCAACGACGAATCTTACCAATGTTGGTTGCGTCCTTTGCCAGAAGTGAAGTAAGTTCTGATGTCATGTAAAAGATCGATTTCACGTTCATGCCTAGAAATTTGGAAAGCTCATCAGTTTCGATCAGGATTCTTGCTTCTGCTGAATCCAGTTGAGGGGACGAAAGGCTCAACCTAGAACACGATCCCATCCCTCTAGAAAATTAGAAGACCATCGTGATTCAAACAAAAGCCATTCGAAAATCAGTCAAGTCAATTGTAATACATTTCAAGGAAATATGAAACCGTTCAAAAATACTGGCCAAAGTGGGATTCAACTTACCTTTTTCTGGAACATCATCATAAGGTGCACCCCAACTCACACCCGAATTGTTCACCAAAACATGAATCTTATTAACTTTTTCTTTTATTTTATCACATAAAGCTACACAACCTGCTTTTGTAGATACATCCCCTACTACATATTCTGCTTTACCAGTTTTTAATGAATTTAATTCATCACAAACTTTTGATAATGCCTACGATCGATTCCAATAAGAGATGATGGGTTCAGTCAGATGTTTTGATCATCCATACCACTGAGTGAGATTAAGATTGACTAACTTTCTCCTTACGTGAAGCGATGATCACATGTCCACCATTTTGAACCCAAGCATGTGCCATCACTGTTGGATACGTTGCAAAATTTAGAGTTCATAATCAATTTGTATATTTACTTGATTTGCTAAAGGATATGATGATTGAACCTGACATTGACTCAACTTTCTCCTAAACCAGATCCACCACCAGTGATCACTGCCGTACGACCTTTAACATCGAAAAGAGTATTAATCTTCATTGACATCTTTTGGTAAAGGTTTCTTGATTCTTTCGTGGAATGAAACGAAGGTTTTGATGAGATCTAAAGACTAAGATGGTTTAACAATTGCCAGACGCTAAACGGTGTTCAATGACGTATGTGATGTATGCATGCGGTTTGAGCAAATCGGTACGTCTTGGAAGTACCGAGTGTGGATTTGACAGTATCCGGTACCGGTGATGAGTGTGTTCGATTGATGAGTTTGGTTGATCACTCTTGAGTCAGCTTGAGTCTGAGTCAGCTTATTCAAATTTCAAATCAAATACACTTTTTCAAGATTTTCAACTTTAAATCTTAAAAACCACTTCATCGCATTCACTACATTTGGAATCGAATCGACTGACTACCATCGAACAAATCAGAATCACCAAATCAATCATATCTGTCAATCAACCTATCTCTCGAACCATGCCGCGTTCGGTTTCGAACAGTTCACGTGATATCGACTCATTACCTTATCATGCTTTACAAGCAGAAGCAGCCGTAAGATTGATTTCTTGGTGGAGATTATGATCCATAGTACAAGAGATATCTGACTGACTTGTTTTTCTCAAATCGACTTCAAATACATCATCAACCCCAAAGAAATATTCGATTCGTCGAAATTTAGGTTCAGCTAAATTGAAAATTGCCATCAAAAGAGTACAAGAAACAGGTGGAGATACAAAAGATTTACCAAGAGAATGGTTAACTGCAAATGCGACTGAATCGATTGAAGTTCCAACTGGAACTGGAATTATACCTACTACTTTAGAATCACGTCATCATACTAGAAAAATCATTTCAAAACCTAAGCCATCAATTAATTCACAAAAACAAGAAAAAGTTAGTCGATTACCTATTTCAAGAGTTCCATCAAGAGCGATTAAAAGGGTCACCTCATCAGATTCAGATGTGATTCGAAAAAGTGGAACTCAAGTTAGGACCGCAACAAATAGTGAAGAATCTGCTAAAACGGAGACCTCTAGCGCCCTACCATCAAATGATCAGTCAGGTACGCTTGTAGGAATACTTGAACAAATCCTTATGCTTTATGAAATGTAAACTGACGCGTCAATCTCATGTTTTTATGACCAACAGCTAGTGTTGGTCCTTCAGTCAAACAAAACGAAGACCTTACCCCAACGATCTCATCACAGGAAGTCTCATCACAAGAAGTTTCATCACAGGAAATGATCAAGCCAACTCAGCCCACATCCGTATCAGAATTACAAAAAGCTATATGCCAAAAAGCTTTAGAGATGGGAATCAAGGATGGAGCCCCTCCAGAGACAGTCCAATGCTTGATGGATATCATCTCAGAAGTTCTTCTCGGTCTTCTCTCCGGAACTGCTCTAGAGGTCGCTGTGAAAAACGCATTGAAGCTCAATTCTAGGTCTTTGTCGGGTTCAGAACTCAATTCACCTCGGAGTAACTCAAATGGATCCATTAATCCTACACCTACAACATCCGATGGTCAGAATGTTGAACATGAGTCACAGGGGGAATCCATTCAACATGCTGGCGATCTAGCTCTTAGTTGTCCCGCATCATGTAATGAAAGCGATAAAAACCCATCGAATATCTCACCGAAAGATCAAACAAATTCACAACCTGATCAGATATCAATTGACAGAAAATCACCAAGTTCTCTTCGACGAAAGATCCGAGAAGTGGATAATGTAGAAACTCCACCGATGAAGAAGAACAAAACTTGTGTTGATGAAATTAGTTCGATCATAAAACCAACAGATAAAGTCAATTCAACAGAAATTCAACAAGCAATTGAAACTATAGACAAAGTTGAAGATCCGTCTGCAATTCATACAATCTTATCACCAATCAAAGAAGATCCACAATCAATAGAAAATTCACCAAGACGAACGTTTATGAATCGATCTACTGCTACATCAAACGCTTTAACAAATGAAAACATCTTACCTTCAACCAATTCAAAAGTCTCTATTAATATCTTTCCAACTACTCATACACGTTTTTTACATAAACAAGTTAAAGCTTCAAGTGGAATTGCTAGTCCATTAAGTAAACCGACGCTTTATGGTACTGAACATATGTATGGACATTCTACGGCACCGTTTGGTGAATTGTATGATAATACAGATATGAGCTTTTTATATGAATTAACTAGACCTGCTCCGGGTGTTGATAGTGGATCTAGTAAAAATTAATGATATCATAAATTATCATCAAATAGCTTGGTTTAATTACTTCTCAAATTAGGTTGGATTACTTTTGTGGGAGAAACTTTTATTTTCTATAAAATCATTTTGTGGTCTTGATGTGTTTTGTTTTTATTTGGAAATGTTTTGGTTTTGGTTTTTGGTTTTTTGGTTTTCGTTAAATTTTTGGTTTGAAAGGATAATCTCGTTTTTGTTTTGTCTTTGAAGAATGTGATATGATTCATTTTATACAAGATTTAATTTCTATCTCATCATTTTTAAATTCTGTAAAACTCGTTTTTTCTTTGATGGTGTGTTGTCTGTTAATAATGTGTATCAAATATATATGTTGAAGTCTTTGATTTTTTTATAGCTAAACATGCGTGGATCTTTTTATAGCAAACAAAAAAGCTGATTGATTTGTGCAAGAATCTGTCTGGTGTATTGCGTGAATAAAAACTCAAGCTAGAAATCTGTAATTCATCTTGATGATCTGAATTGTTGGTGACTATCTCGCTGCATGATCGACACCCAAGTATGTGTAAGCTCATCTTAAGGTCTGTGATCTTTCCCCCGGACTTGGAAATCAATAGACTTGCTTGGAGCAACTGGATGTTCATCTATTAGCAAAGCGGACAATGATTCTCCAGCATGTAGTGAGTCTTTGAGGGGTATCTTGATTGAAATTATTGGACTGATGGATACTTTATCATCATTAAATCAAGGAATTACTATTTCAGATAAGAAGGATCACAAGTTGAAAACAACAACATATATCACAGTGAATGAAATTGGAATTCTAGAAGGCAGAGATGCGCAAATCGGAGAAGTATATTGAAAACGTTTCTTTTCTCTGATTATTTATAATAAGCTGTAGTAAACAAAGCTAATGAATGATATGTTTGTTATTCGCTTGTTGGATTCAGTCTATAGAGAGATATTCTTCATTCAACCTACTCATGAGCCCTGGCTGGAATGATGCATACTGCCTATTTTCACATATGAATGTATTCAACGGGTGTAATCACCAGAAGCTCGTCTACAAATTCTCATGATACTATCTTGAAAACCTGTCTCCGATTGCACCGCCGTCGATAAGGCTCGTTGATGAGCAGATGCTGCTGCAAGTCAACTTTGTGGTTGTAAGGTTCTCTATAAGAGGGACCTTCACTAGACTCGCTGGACTCTCACGGTGGATTCTAACCACTGAAAACTAATCTAGAACTCTTGTGTGCATTACAAGTTTGCTAGCTAGCTCCAGTCGGGGTTCGTCAAGAGAAGAAACAACAATCAGAACCATATATAAAGTGAAATATAATAGAGTGATAATAACTCTTACCTAGCTCCAGTCGGGGTTCGTGAAGAGAAGAGAACCCAACGTGGAGCCAGGGTTAGTTGAGAGTAACCAAATCCAGTCCTGTCTAAAGCCATAGTATGTATATCCTTACAGTGGTGGTCAAGCTGGAAGGTTTGAACGAATTGACTCTGTTGTGCCGTTGTGGTGGTCATGAATTGATGATAATGTCGAGAAATTCGATTTCGAATCCAAGTTTCCATATATACTCTGCGAGCAGCAAATGAGCTGATGCGACGCCCCATGACCAGTACGTACAATTTGACCTCAGCTAAGCAGAGTCAAAAATATATGGGCTTCACTATTTATGAAACGGGCCCTTCTTCCAAACCCTCGATTAGTTGATCAACTTTTGTCTCGGAGTACAAAATCAGTAACGTCGCCTGTAGGCTGTGGCACATGTCTTCTTCTTGTACGCCTACCCTTCTAGATACCGTGCATGACGTTGTGTGAAAAACTGTTGACTTTCACCATAGTCAAGTTCCATCGCTTACTGTGCACATGATGTGAAGGCCCTTCACTTGCTCATAAAGAGGCGCAGTCTTCGAGTCTTGGCCTAAGTATTGTGTACTGTGTACACCTTCTGAGAAGTTGAACCAAGCTGCTAAACAGCTACGAGGTTCTGTAAGACTTTGGCTTCATCTCAAACCAATTATTTCTGCGAGTCCACGGAGGCTCAATATAAAGAACGGTAGAGTCACCAGAAAATAAATTTAACCAACCATCTTTCCACATTTCTATGGTTGCGGCGAGCTTCGTTACAAACATTTACATTCATTCTTTGAACAAATTTTCCAAGTATCTATTCATCTTGTTTCGCAACAAGCTGTGTGATTTTGCAGCTGCATAAACAATCCAGATATCATCCAGTGCTCCCCGGGTCGCTAAGCTTGACAAGTAGTCCACACTTTACGAGTATTGTCAGCTTCGCAAGTATCAACTATACGATTTTTCATCTTTATTAAGGTATGACAGGCCTCACTGCTTTGAATGGTTTGGCGCACTCCAGCTAATTGTTTCGTCCAAACACCACCACTGGAAAAGGTATTCAAAACTACTCATCTTTGATCCGAATATGAGAAATCTTCGCGTCTTGGCACCTTGGGGTCTTCTGATCATCTGTGGATTGATCGACCAGAGCCATTCCCTGCCTGTGCCTGGCTTAGGAAATGACGTGGCGGAGTCGATAGTTAGAGACGTGAAGGGTGATGAAACTTCCACACCAGCTCAAGAGGAAGTTTGGCAACAAGTAAGCAGCAGATCAAGCCGTAGAAAACAAAAATACGTAGTGAAGAACACAACTCTGAAAGAGATTGAGGACAACCCTCTTGAAGAGGATGAAAAGTTTCCTGAAGGAGCTGGGCAGAACACATTTCCTTCGACAGATTCATCATCTGCATCCGACAAGACATCTAAAACCAACCCAATGATTCATAGAGATCTCACATCGGCTCAGGAGGAACTTTTAAAAAACATGAGCGGTGCTTTACTCCGTAGAAGAAGAAAAAGAGCAAGGAAGGCAGCTCTCAAAAAGATTGCAGAAAACACTCCAGAAGAAGGTGAAAAGTTTCTTGAAGGAGCTGAGCAGAACACTCTTCAAAAGCTGGCACCAACTTCAAATGAAATAATGGAACAAGAAAGCACTGGGTTACGTCTCAGAAGAAAAAACCTTAGGCGGGTGAAGAAGGCACCTGTTAGAGAGATTGAAGACAGCCCTCCTGAAGAGGTTGAAGAGGAAATTGCAGATCAACACCCTGTTGCAACTGCATTTAAGAGAATTGTGATATATTATCTGTTAGGTTACCAATCAATGATGGGAAATAGTTTTGGTCAAAGGGTTGGGAATGATCCATTTGCACGGTTCTTTTGATGTAAATATAAACACCATTGGTCAAACTGTCTTCATAAACCCATGTCTATGTTGCAATCTCTTCAGGTAATTTGGATATTTTTCTCGTTATAACCAGCATCAATACCTCATCCTAATCATCTCCCAGTGTGTCTTTCAAGAAATAGACCAAGTTTCATTGCCGGTTTTGTTTGTTTCTGGTCACACATCACAGTGTTCAATTTGCTTCTTGCTTTCATTCATCTAATGTTCATTGAAGATATTCATCCCAACTCTCTTATCATCAAAAAGAACACCCATACCACATCCCCGTTGTCTTTTGGAGGTGTTCACAAAATACCCAAAAAGTTAACATCACACCCAAGTGAACGGCAGAGCTTTGTATTGTAGATCAGTTACAACAGACCTGCCTTTTGTTAAATTCATCCTTTCTTTTTGAACTGCTTCTTGTCTTGGTTTCATTGTCTTTTCACACTCCTTGAAGTTGTTTGACCTGATAAGGCCTATCTTTCATAATACATCTTGGTCCTAGATAAATCTGGTGCTGTCATGTGAGAGAGATCAGTATTGCTGCATATTGGAACTTCTAATATATTATACTGAGATCAGATTAAAGATTTGGCCAGCCGCAGTCCACCTGCTATTCTTGGTAACAGCAAAACATCATTGTATCAGCTAGTGCAGCCACTCCACACTTGCATGCCTTGACATATGTACAACCCATCAAAATTGGAAACAAAAAGCAAATATTTGCTTTCACCACACTCCTGAGCATCATACAATATTTGACAGAATGATAGGCACCATTTACTCTTGGCTGATTTATGGCATGGCATGCTTGGTTGATCTGAGCCACTGAATATTGAGTGGTATGTCCCATAAATATAAGACCATTGGCTCAGAATGCAAGCTACCCACCAGTAGTAGACACAGCACACAATATTGTGGGATAAGTGATCATCCCATGTGCTCTATTCCTCAGTGACATCAACAATTTTTGCACAAATTTTCCAGAAACTTTGAATTTGTTATAATCCCAATGCCAGCATATTTTCAATGAACATGGTGATATTAAATAGCCTTAGATACTATTGGTGGGAGTTGAAAGTTCTATTGAGCTCACTCATTTGGGATGTATTGATTGTTTGGAATGATATTGCAGTTCATGATGTAATTATAGGTGTCTTTCAAGGTATGCCTTCAAATGAAGAAGTCATTCTTTACAAAAAACAGCTACACAGATTGATCCAAGGATAATATATTGAGACAAAAAAATTCATTAATTCGGAGTCATGAGTGACTAAAATTTTTGAAACATGTTTATAGGTGCAAATTTGTGAGTTTATGTCTTTTGATGAGAAGAAAGTGTATATACAATTGACATATCAAGGTTGGATAGCCTATATCCATCCATATAATTTGCAATTGAATAGGCTATCAATGAAAATGAAAAGCAATATAAGACACATAGGAATCTCAGGTTATTTTGGACTTACTTCTCAGTTGGAGAGATAAATGAATGAATAGATCCTCCTGATCCATTGCTGTCTTGAATGTTTTACCCTTGAGTTTCAGATATGGTTGTATTCTGAGACTCTGTGTGATGGCAAACTTTTGTCCCTGATTTTCTTTTAGAAGACAAGACCCAAAATGTGATAATAATGGGTGATGAGTGAACAAGTTGCCTCCTATTGTGCTTCTCCAAGCTGTGTCACAATGTGGTGATTATCATTTGGCTTATCAACACTTTTTCCTTGAAAAGTTTGATCTTTAGAGGCAATACTTGGAAATTCATAAAGACCTTCTTGGTTAGGATTCTTTGAAGGATTGTGTAGATCTTCTTTATCTCCTTGCATCAATTTTTTGGTTTGAATGTTTTCTTCTTTATCAGAGGTCTGTTCTTTAGATGTTGTGTGTTCCATGATTGTGTCTTGTTTTGGGGACATTTCTTTGATGGCCTGAGACAATACTTCTTCCATTGAAGGTGCTTTGTCCTTGAAAATGTAAGACCCATGTATATTTTCTTGCTTTGATGAAGTTTCTACTTGTGCTGAAGAAATTCCTTGCAGAGTCTCCTTTCCAGGATTAGTTTCTGCTTTTACTGCTGATTTTTCATCAAGAATATCTTTTTTGCAGCCTTTTTGAGAATCATTTCCTGATTTCACTCCAGGCTTTCCTCCAACACTTGCTTTTTGTGAATTGTTTTCTAATTTTAGTTCAGGATTTTCTCCTGAAGAACTGCTTTCAATTCGAGCAAGAAATTTCTTTCCTCCTTTATCAATTGTTCCTTGTTCAAAAACTCTTCTGAGGGGCCTAGTTTTTTGGTTAGGGGTGGTTAACTTTGGAGTCTTATGCTGTTGTTGTGAGTTGATTTCTTCTTTGATATGGGTTTTGATTGTGTTTGATTCTGTCTGATTTGGGTTTTGATTTTGTTCCTGTAGCTTGTTATTGCCACTCTCTTTTGCAAAGGATCCTGTATGATCACCAAACTTATCATGATCAGTCTTGGTTTGATGTGGGTTCATAGATTCCTGCTGTGTGTCATTGTGTTGATCCACCTTGAGTGATTCACTTGATTTTTCTGCCACAATCTTCTCATTGTCTGTGCCTGTTTCTGATTGATTGGATTTTTTTGACGTTGAGCCCCATTTCCCCTTGGAGAGTTTTGAAATACATTTCTTTTTCTTATGGGGGTTTACTGCTGCTGTGGCATTTGTCAAATCTGGTACTTGATTCAACTTTGGCCCTTGGTTGTCCGCATGCACCTTGTCCTCCTGGTTTTCTCCTTTGATACTGCGACATTTCTGATCTACTACTCGATTTTCTTTTTCTTCTTTGAGAAATGGGATAATTGGAATAATCTTATCAGTCTGGTGTTGTGAAGACTTTGCACCTGGCACCGCATCATCCAGGTCAGGTTTTATCAAAGACATATTTCTCCCTTTGGTTAGTGCCACGTCTTTGTTGCTGATCTGGTGCAAAGATCCTTGTTCTGGATAACCTGATGATTCTCGCACAAGACCTGTCTCTTCAAAGAACGAGGTTCCAGGTACCCAACTTGGGCGTTTATTTCTGATGCTGGACGTTGTAGTGTCAGATGAGGCCGGATCAAGTGATGTATCAATGGGAGCAGCGGAGGGTTTCTTCCTGAGAGTTGCGTCTGCATGGTATTCAATCTTTTGGTCGCCTTCCACCAATGAGCCTGCTCTTTGCTTGTTCCTATCGGTCAAAAGTATAAGTATTGCAGCTATACATAAAAAAGCTGATAACGTCACTCCAGATTATGTTGCGGAATTTATCGAATTGAAGGGGGCGGTGTTGATGATCATTAGCATCATTTCTTTATACTTCGGGTTAGCACCAAGCTCACCAATGATACCAAACACTGTTGTGACCATGAGCTCCGCGGGCATCAGTGGAAATGGTCTTGAACCATTGTCGGAGATATAGCCTTGGTTCACAGAGCCATTCAAGGTCTCGAGACTTTTTGATGTATGACCATCTCCCGTAGAGCTGGAAGGGAGTGCGTTTGAAAGCATTCGATGATGATTCAAGAACAATATATACCACCATTTTTCTAAACTTGTGAATGTGTGAATGTGTTTGGGGTTTGAATGGTAACGTCCAAATGTCATAGTATGGGCCGGTGAGTTGAAGATGGACGAAAAGTCACATACGTACACGATGTTCTCAGTAGGTTTTTTGATGAGTCAGAAAGGGCCTGCTTGCATAGACAAGATATGAATAATATGGCATAGATGAGCACCTGTTAGTGGCCAGTTGGACAAAAACTAGTTAAACAAAAAAAGAAAGAAAAAATTGCTGCTATCAAATTATTGGCATCACCGAGAAGATCAGCTTCAATTAAGAGCAGTCGTTCAAGTTCCGGGCGTCGATGATGTGCAAATAAATCACGAAAACAATCGGCATGTCGTGGTTTGGAAATTGCGGTGTTTTTTAGATTGTCACAAAGAGGTTAACGAGACATGTGTTTTGTGAATTGAGTAAGTGAATGACTCGGTCAATCGGTAAAGGGGACCTTTGATAACTGTACCTTCAGGCCAGTTCGTGCTCTGCTGAAGGATGATCTCGCTAACACCGCCAACTGGGTAAGCATGGTAAATGGTTGACCTCGCCGAAATCGCCTCGTTGTCGAGAACCTACGTCGTTGTCCAAACACGACAACACTCACTGTCCAAAGTTCGCCAAGCCTCCAGTCAGCTAAAGAATTATCGAGAGTCTGCTGAGATTGGATTTAATCTTAGTTGGAAAGCTTCGGTGTCTGACTGATCAAGAGGACCAATTTAGAGTTTGTCAAAGTTTGTGGCATTGCTGTCCCTTGACATAGCTTTTGATCGTCAACAGCTAAATCTAATGAGCAAAGACACCTTTAGCTATCTGTTTCGGTTTTGAGTTGTATTGCTTGTTACCTGGTATACAAGGGAAGAATTTAACGTTAATAATCTCTTTGGTGCGCCTTTTCAGGCTTCCTAGCTGAACTCGATGAGATTCAAACAAATAATCTGTGAGAATGAGCCGATCGCCTGCCGTGACCGATCAGGACCGATTCGTTTTGTGAGGATGACTTCGAGTAAACATAGCATTTGGTTTAGTCGCTCGGTCAGCTATGTAACTTCCGGATCCCAAGCCTGGCCTGTCAGATCGATGCACTATCAGACGGAGACCTTTTCAACGACACATCCCTCCAAAGCTTTGTGAGGATGACTTCGAGTAAACCCACCGAAGCGTTGGTTTTGGTAGCTTGGTCAAGTTACTTTTCAGACTCAACTTTTGAGACGATGCAATCTCTGACGACGATTCCCCCCAGGGCCCAGAGTTTATTTTATTTTATTTTTTATCGTTTATCCTTATACATCCCAATACTTACAATCTCTTCATCTCATTGCTCTTTCATCTTTCATCATATCAGACATTTGGCACTACATTAGACATCGGACTTTTGTCATCATTGAACTTCAGCTTTCATAATTTATATTTATTACTTATCCACTCAAGAAATATTACAGTGACCAGCCTTTCCTGCTCGCAAGATACTTTACTCTTTTATAACCCTATTCTAAGATTCAGAAAACCAACTTTTCTGTTCATAGGCCACGAATCATATATAGGATACAACATCATCTGTGAACTTGTGTTGTCCTCCAAATAATCCTCTTATTTATCTTCTTAGAGAGTTATAAGTGCTTCGTTAAACCCCTTCAAGTATATGGCATAGGATGATTCAGTGGAAGTCTGTGAAAAAAGTTGTTTTTACTCTGCTGCTGCTAGGAATTGCCTTCTCAGAAGGACGCCCGAGTGAAAGTGGTGATGAGAATGATGATCGGGTGGTGGAGACTACAACGACCACAACTGTAACAAAATCATACCCCATACATGAAGATGACAGTCCATTCCTATTGAGGGCAGAAAACTTGGTCGGGGTGGTGTTCGGAGCTACTGGTGAGTCTTCTTTCATTATAAGTCCTCAATTAGGGAAAGATACACGATAAATCATTGCTGATTTTGTTAACTGAACCAATTTCCCTGGTGATTCCTTCGCCAAAAGCCATTCTCATTGCAAACCTTATGCTTCTGATGCTGTACATCAGGAAACGACGCCGACAAAGGCGCGAAGCAGGTGATCTTCCCAAAGACAAGAAAGGAGATGAGAAAACAGGTTGGTGGTGGAGCAAGCAAACATCCAAAGAAGAGACCTCAGAAGTGAAGAAAAAGCGTCCATCAGGATTTGGGCGTCTTTTGTTTAACAGCTCTAAGCCAGATCCAGAAACAGGACTCAATACTGAAGCATCCGAGGAAAACCCAGGTGAAGGAAAATCAAAAAAGAAAAAGAAGGAAAACCCTGGAAACACCGAAGCGAGTGAGGAAAACCAAAAATCACGGAGAGGGTTCTTGGGAGGATTCTTCGGTGCTTCAAGTAAAGATCCGCAGGAAAATTCAGAGGCCGCCACTGGAGAGTCCCAAGAGGACGCAGGAGCAATTAAGGTCGAAAAAAGTTCTCTTTTCGGGAAATTGGCGAACAGATCAAAGAAAATCGCCACGGGGCCTGGAGAGGCCGGTGAAACTGACAAGACCTCAGAAGATGCTGCAAAAGACGAGGCGGCTACCAAAACTTCGTTCTTCACAAATCTGAAGAAGAAACGCAGCCTCAAGATTATAACTGAGCTTGAAGATTCAGAAGCGGCGGAAAAGAAAGACAGCCCTTTGAACAGATTGTCCAAAAAGCTACTATCACCCGGGAAGACAAAAGACTTGAAGGGTCAGTCAAAGTCGACAGACAATATAGGCAAGACTGCAGAAGTAGTCGAAGTCGAAGCAAAGCTTGAAAGAAAGAAGAGTACCCGGAGGAGTTTTCGGACATTGCTCTCCCCGGGCAAGAAAAATGCATCTAAAGACATAGGAGCGAATTCGGATACGCAAGAGCAAAATGCAGTACAATCACCCCGGAAGTTCAAGTCTGTTCTTCAGAAATTTCAACAAGCAGCAGACAGCAATAAAACTGTTGAAACAAGAGAAGCTGTAACAAACAAGGAAGAGAAAAAAGGGGAATGATGTGATCTGTTTATCATTCTGCAAAATACATCGTGTTATATCTTGTTTTTTACAACTTTGTTTTTTAAGAGCTTCTCTTTGTATGTATTTCAACATGCCTTTCAATGTGCATTCCACAAGCTACAATATCTAATCTACTTCTTGAAGTCTTCCACTATTTCATAAGAATGATTACACTTCTTATCCCTGCTTGAAATTGTGACACTATATGACACCACTTAGATAATACCATAATCTCACTGTGCAAACCACTGTATGAAAAACCTACAAGGCATAACACTACAAATAATATCAGTAGATCAACCCTGTGAATGGTAACTTGTAAGCTGTATTCACTTGGTTGGGATTGGGAAACAAACCAAACATCTACACATGAGATGGAAGGGCTCTTGAAATATCATTGGCATCTTGTAAGTTCTGATTGTTCAAATCCAGCCTCATAGATAAAGTTGGTGGGCTTTGTCCCCACAGGTCCTTTGCAATAATTGAGTGAAGAACTGAGAAAGTTCAAAATGTCAGCTTTGTAAACAAGCTGTACACACTGATTGAGAGAAGTTAGAACAATCTGATTGAGAAAGAAGATTGTCGAAAACAATAATTATAAGTTTGATAGGAAGAAAAACATAATAAAGAATGAACAGTAAATCTTATATGAACTCAAAATAAGATGATGTCATGACAATCTCACATGATCAGAATGAAGCCAGCAAAGAGATTTATAAGCGCATGATAGAATCAACACTAGTCAGCGCGATGATTATGGTCAACGGTACGGTGCGGCACGGTCCGCACCGTACAATAGTGTCCCTTTTGGCGCTACAGTACCGGCGTACCATAGATAGGGAAAAGTAGCTATGGTGACTTTCACAATTACAGCTGATATTCATGACGGTAACCGTACCAAAACCCGTAGTCATTACGGTTGACTATGGTAAGTTACCAATTCCCAATATCCACAATTTTCATTTATTTATTGCTTTATGTGCCATTAGATCCTTTTGGCTATTAGACACTACATATGTTTCCAGCACCTGTAAAATCCCTCCGGCTGTGTCAGGGGAAAGGGTTGCTGTTGGCTGTTTCATCTAGTATGCATGTTGTACGTGATTATAATGTTTGGCGCTAAAGGATGTGGGTTCAGGGATGGAAAATTTAATCCCTTGGGGGATGCCTGTCCTTAGGAAGGTCTTCTCTGTAATTGCAGCCCAATTCCAGCGGCCTTTCAGCCGCCAGGTGTCATCACAGTATTGTGCAATGACTTGGAATGATTGTGGTTTGTTGAGAATGCATGTGTTGTTTGGGAGTTTGAGTTTTTTGAGGCTCTCTTCTAATTTCTTGTGTTCAACTTTGAAGTTAACACACATGAATAGGTAATGTTTGGCCGACTCAACGGCTTCACTGTGAACATCATTCAACTTCCCCAAGTTGGAAGAGGAAAATGATTAATAGTACAATTTTTCATAAAAGGATCCAATACTGCCCACCTGAGTCATAAAATTCACACTAAATATGTGCAGCAAGCGTCAATAATGGTCTATCATGTACATACAGGTCTGCTCAGCTTTTTGCCCATCAGAATAAATAAATCACATGTTATACCACATGTAACTTTTTGACTTTGAAAAAATTGTCCCAAAAATCACTATGTATAATTCTGTAGCTGCTCAGGCAAAATTGTTGAAGCTATTTCTTAGTAACAGAAAGGCTGTTACATACAGTTGAGTTGATGACATTACACCAAAATGTTGAGCCAGTGTATGTAGCCAATCTTTTGAATGCTTTTGTCAATCTAAAAAAAGGTTACAGCATGTATTACATATGAATAACTTATCCTGATGAGCAGATAACTGAGCAGAACTGTATGTACATGATAACCACCTATTCACTGAGCCTGCTACATATATGTAGTGTGGGTGTTATGGCTTAGGTGTGCAGTGATGGATCATTTTATGACAAATCATACTCCCAACCATTTTTTCCTGCCCACTTGGGGAAGTTGAATTGTAGCCAATCTTTTGAATGCTTTTGTCAATCTAAAAAAAGGTTACAGCATGTATTACATATGAATAACTTATCCTGATGAGCAGATAACTGAGCAGAACTGTATGTACATGATAACCACCTATTCACTGAGCCTGCTACATATATGTAGTGTGGGTGTTATGGCTTAGGTGTGCAGTGATGGATCATTTTATGACAAATCATACTCCCAACCATTTTTTCCTGCCCACTTGGGGAAGTTGAATAATGTTTGCAGTGGCTTCTTGGCATCTGCAGCTTGGATCTCCAATCTGTCCGAATTTAGATAGATATTGGTTCAGTGGAATGTGCCCTGACCTTAACTGTGTTATGAAACTGATGGAGTGTTTTTGAAGTTCTGATAGGTGCTTGAGGTGAATTTTTTGTTGTGGCCTGTGTCCTAAACGTTTTAGGTCTTGTAAGTCTGTTATTTGTGAGTGCTTTGTTCGCCATTCCTTAATGGCCAATTGGAAACTTGCAGCGTTTGGTGTAATCCTGAAGGTACTCAGAAGTTTTGTTTTGGCTTTTACATTTGTTATTTTATCCAAGAGTTTGTTGCCACAAACACCTGCGTGTCCTGGGCACCATTGTATGGTGATTCACATATCTGGAAAGGTTCTATGTGAATATGTCAGTAATTTTTATGTCTCTTTTCTGTCATCTAGCGTAGTGATTGGGAGTTTGTTGGACGGGAAATCTTTGATAACACTCTGGTTATTTAAAAGAATTGTTGTCCTCCTTGTGTGTATTGAGGCTGTGCGTGATACCATGGAGAGGCCAATTTGGACCCCACGGTATTATATACTGTGTGTGTGTGCCATCCCCAAGTGTTCCGCTGTATGCACATTTGTTCATATTGTTTTAGGAAAGATACTTATTTCTCAATTCATTTCAGTTACACAGTATCTTTGCAGACCTTACAGCCATTCCAATATTTCTTGGTGCTCCATTTTGAAAAAGAAAAAGTGAAACTCGGTGAAACCTAAGTTTTTACTTGATAAAACTTTGAAATTGGCTGTAATTGAAGGAAATACAGCCAATTTTCAGGTTTTAACTGGTCAAAACTTAGGTTTTGAGCTCATATACTTTTTTTTCAAAAATGTGAGCAACAAGAAATATTGCAATGGCTGTATGTGTTTTTTTTTAAAAAAAACTACATAATCTCCCCGCAATGAACCCCAATCTGATCCTCAGATGGTGATTGCAATACAATTTGCTACAGTCCCGCCATACCACAACCACATTTTGACTACAGTCATATGCCTACTGAAAAGTGTCAAATCCACTTGTTGAGATACTAGCCTGATGACCCCGTGAAGTTTTCTAAAGGTGAGTCTCAATCACCTTTGAGTCACTCTGAACTACCTGAACTGATTAACCTATAAGGTTTCAGGCAGTGATCAAATATTTGGGAGAAAAGAATTGGCATGTGATGATTCAGCAACTGGATTCTAGTGCCAATATGAGCAGGTGAAAATAGAAACAATAGTAATGTAAAAAGATAATTAGATAATTAGACACATAAGATATTTATAGAAAAGAATGAAATAGATAAGAAAGAGAAATGGTGATTGTGAGATAGGACTTACTCTTTTCCTTCTGTAGAATAACTGGTGAGGAAAAGAGCATACAACAACTAGGTTTAAGTTTAAGACACTTAAGGTTTAATATTTAAATATTGAACTAAGGTAGTCTGACTTATGTAATGATTTCCTTGTTAATTTCAACCAGGTATCACAACTGCTGGAACCTAGATCAAGAGAGACTGTTGAATTCTCCAATCAACTTACAGAGAAGTAAAAGAGTGGACAAGAAAAGATCAACATCAAGAATCGAGTATCAGATGACAAAAACAACATACATTAAAATTACCCCAACCTATCAGTTTTCATTTCAGAATTATCTATCATATATATGTTGTAGCAAATTTCACTGTGCTTCTCTTTCCCCATCTTTGGAAAGAGAAGTACATACCTCCTCACTTTTTCACTTTGCTATGATCACTGTTCTTTCAAATGCCTAGTTAACCGTTATGTTTCATTTTACTTATTGATGCATTAGAAAACTGTTATCTCAAGTTCCCAAGATTGGTATCAAATAAAGTGATACCTATAACTAACTTTGTCCAACTGAAATTCTGTACCACCTTTCAGGTACATATTAATTAGTGTCTTGTTTCTTATCAATCTTTCAGTTTAGTTAACTTTTTCTAATCTCGTTGTTTAGGTCAGAAGTCTATACTAGACAAGTCCGTTTTCCTATTTGTTGCTTATACAAGCTGGTGCTTTATCAGGTGAATAAAATTTATCTTTGGAAAGAGAAAAAAACTGTTCTCTCAAGTTCCTAAGATCGGTATCAAATAAAGTGATACCTATAACTAACTTTGTCTAACTGAAATTCTGTACCACCTTTCAGGTCAGAAGTCTTTACTAGACAACTCTGTTTTCCTATTTGTTGCTTATACAAGCTGGTGCTTTATCAGGTCAGAAGTCTTTATTAGACATGTCCATTTTCCTATTTCTTGCTTATACAATCTGGTGCTTTTCAGATCCCTGTTCCCAAACTCCAAAGACATTCATAGAGACAAAGGTGTCTCTCAACATCTACAACGGTACGACGAGGTGGCTACCTACAACGGTATACCGTACCGTTCCTGCATGCAGACCGTAATTTGTTGCGTTACGGTGAGATCCAAGCATTGGCGGCTGGGTGCCAAATTGTCTAGTTGTATATATTATCAAATGTGCATGCTTCAGACTAGCTCCTTAGGGAATTTCAAGACTGCTCTTGTATTCATTATTATTTGGAGCTAGGTAAGCAGTTCATGATCATTATTCATTCTCATTTCATTCTATCTTTCTTTATTACTATCATTGAATATTCCTGTGGGCATTTTGAGACTGATCTTGTATTCATCATTCTTTGGAGCTATAAAAGGTAACCACACTTTGGTTCTAGACTTCAAAGTTCACTATTGTGGC